ATAAGAGAGATATATATATATATATATATATATATATATATATATAGCCAATAAGATTTTGCCACGTTTCATACTAAAAAATACAATTTTTTAAAATTAAGTATAATTTATACCTCATGATCAATTCCTAACTACTATGATCCATTACAAAAATTAAAATTTTTAAAAATCAAATTATAACTCATAAAAAATAAAAGTTACAATTGTTTTAGAGTATTTTCAACCATGTACTCAAATTTATAAATATTTGAATAAAAAACTTTTTTTAAAACAAATAAGTTTAATGAATAAACTCAAATTTAGAGAAGAAAAAAATCAAATTTAATGAAAGGCAAGCTCAAATTTAAAGGGGTGTGAAACATTACGGTTGAATCTTTAAAGAAGAATGAAAACTCACAATTTGTGATTTTAGTAAGGGTCTGAGTCTTTCTTATTTTGAGTAAAAATTTGAGTTTTTCTTAATTTAGTATGAGAGCAGATATAAGATTGGAGAAAATTTTTGAACTATTTTTACTCAAATTTAAATTTTGGTCTAAAAAAGGGAAAACAATGTTAAATAGACTTAAAAAATTGACTTGATAAATCAGTACCTTTAAATAGATAATGAGTTTTAATAAATATAGAGACTACAATTAAATTAATTACAAATATAACAACCACATCATAAAGTCAAGTTTTTAAGTCAATCGTTTAAATCTATGTAACATTGCTTAAAAAAAGGGTAACGGTTGGAGAATAGACTTTAGTTTTTACTCAAATTTGTGCCAACATTTGAATAAAAAGTTTGATTTGATATAAACCAATATACTATAAAAATTCAAATTTAAATTTAAATGAGTACAAACTCAAATTAAAAGGATGATGTAATATGACCATTAGATGTTTACAGGAGAATAAAATCTAACAATTAGTAATTTGAGTAAAAGTTTAAGTATCTAACAATTGGACGAGTGTGAAATAAGTGGATCCCACTGAAAAATGGATAGAACTCACTCATCCAAATGATGATATGTATTTGAGTTATAACTTTTTGAATTTTATTTAAATTTTGTAGGATTGCTTTTATGAAAATATCAATATTATTTAAATTTAATTTGATAATAATATTCATTATAATGCTTAAATCACCAATAAGCCTCATATTGTATAGAACAAGGGATGGTAGTTGATCAAGACAAAGGCAGGGGAAACAGTCTCCACCCTATACTTGTTTCAAAAATATTCGTCCACTCTTGTTAGCGGGAGAAATTTTAATTTTTCCCATCTTCATCATCATCTTTGTTCATAACAATTAATTTCTATGATTTTAAGAAAAAAATTAAAAAAAAATCATAAAACCTTACAAATGATTCCGTAAGAAAAATGAAACTCCATTATACAACAAATAGATTAAAAAAAAAGAGAGAAAGTAAAGTGTTTTTTTTTTTTTTGTAAAGAGAAAAGTGAGTGGGTGGGTAGGTAGGGTTTGTGATAATATATATATGTATTAATAAGTGCCTCTGAAGGTGGGTGAGGGTTATGTCTTTGTAATATCTATATAATAAAACAAGAGTGTGTTTAAATTTTATTCCAGTCATATTTTTCCTCTTAAAACTATCACCAATTACTTACCTCACTCATCATCCTTTTGTCAGACTCAAACATCAAATCACATCACTTATTTCTATCATATGTTTAATCATTTATATATTTATTTCCTAAAAATATCACATCACTCATTTCTATCATATATTTAATTAATTTGTAATTAATATATTTTTTAAAAAATAAATATAATGGGATCGATTTTTTAGACGCTCGAATTTTTTATTTTATCGTACATTCAGGTACGGGTTATGACTAATATATATATATATATATATATATACTAGTCATAACCTGCGTCTAAAGACACGGTACAATATAATCGAACCCCCTAAAAAATCGAGCACACTATTTCAAATTGCGACAATCACTTTTTTTTTAAAAAAATGGCCAAAAATCGTGCTTGAACATTTGATCAAATCTAACTCACAATTCTAAATGCACGCGTTTAATTAGCATTCATATCAACTTCCATATAAAAATTATTACAACAAAAGTCCAAAATCTAAGTAAAACTGAAACAAATAAAGGTGATTGGTGCAATTGATCATATATCTATGCCTAGAGACACTTAGTAACCAAAAACAAAATAACAATTACCAACGGAAATTCATTGGACAAACAATTAAACTCTAAATATAATTAAACTCTCATTGGACAAAATTAAATTCTAAAAAAAAAATTGGCTAGAATTTTCTCTCCAAATGAGACACCGAAAAATTTTCAACCTGTTTATACAATTTATTTTCATAACCAAAAAGATTATCAAAAGTCTCACTATCATGCCACAGTTCTGCCTAATGCAACTACGCAAATGAATCCCATAACAACATATAAATTCCATAACAAAAATATTCACGTTTCATGCACCCAAGAATACTCAATGTTTAAAAGTTCTATGCAATTAACAATCAACAATTAACAAAATAAAACGGATGAAAGCAATACTTATAAATCTACCAACCTAATCTCTTATCTAACGTATGTGAATAAACTTTGAACATGAATTACATAAATGCTGAGAGCAAACATAAAATGGTTTCAAACAAATTCACAGTGATCACCAAAGGTATAAGAAAATCTTAAGTAGAACAGAAAGAGAAAGCGAGTTCATCTCAATATTTTATACACTGCTTTTAAACACCTTACACAACTATTAACGACCTAAATACCTTATACACTATTGTTGGGCTTTTAAACTCGTACAAAAAAATAAATAAATAATCACTTTCTTTTAAGTATAGAAGAACCCCTATGACAAATTACCATGCTTCTTACTACCTTTCTTAATCTATGCCTGAGACAACAACTTGGTGTTGCAATTTAGATGCATCCATTGTTGAAATCTCTATCAAAGAATCCTACAATGGAAGAAAAAGTCGAAGAGATGTTAAATAATGGGATAAAAGATGAGATGCAAGGAATTATTGGGATGGCTTCCAAACTAAGAACTTGGAATTGTGATGCAAGTTCCAAAAGAATTACATGATATATGCTTGGGTCCAATATTGGCATGCATAAAAAAATAAATAAAAATATTAACCCACAATAGGAGCACAAAGCTTGAATATCAACTGTACACTGCATCCAACATAGAAAAAATAACAGTTCTCTTCACATACATCAACCAATAAATGATCAAACTAAAGCATGCGCGTATAGACAACCTTGCTCACATAAGAACTTCTATAAGCCTTCAATACAAATACATGTGTCTTCAGAAAAAACTACGACAACTCTATCCCTATAATGAAGTTAAATCCATGAATCAAGTGGACTTACATTTATTGGGAAACATATTAGAAGTCATTGTATTGTTAGACATATCATATAGAAACACTTCGTTTGACTTATTATAGATAGTAGTTAAATATAAGCCAACATATCAGTCAGGCATCAAGACCTATAAAGGCGACCCAACAATCATTAGAGAAATTCTTAATTATTGCAATATATATAACTTGATATTTACATTTTTGGTAATGATAAAGAATAAAAAAACTGATTTAGAAAACAAAGGTTTGGAAACATTACACAGGCTTGACAAAATTCTTTTAAAAATGGGACCTAAAAATAATCAACCTGTACACAGGCTTGTGAAAACACTACACAAACCAATGCAATATAGAAGCCACACTTTCCACTTATTTAAACTACTCCGATTGTGAATCGAATTTGAATTTAGCAAGCAACAAAATTTATCTAACCTATTTCTAATCAATGCATTAAGGCTAACAATAATAGAAAAATTAGCAACAAATCTGATTCACAAATGTAAAGAAATTTGGAGTCAAAGCCTTTAACTGAAACAAATAACTTATAAGAAAGAAATG